CACAGCAGCAGTATTCACAATAGCCAAGACATGGAAGCAACCTAAATGTCCATCAACAGAGGAATGGATAAAGAAGATGCGGTATATATACACAATGGAATATTACTCAGTCATAGAAAAGAATGAAATAATGCCATTTGCAGCAACATGGATGGACCTAGAGATGATCATACTAACTGAAGTAAGTCAGACAGAGAAAGACAAATATCTTATGATGTCCCTTACGTGTGGACTCTAAAAAAATGATAAAATGAACTTATTTACAAAACAGAAACAGACTCACAGACTTAGAACACAAGCTTATGGTTACCAAATGGGAAAGGTGGGGGAGGAGGAGGGATAAATTAGGAGGTTGGGATTAACATATACAAACTACTATACATAAAATAGATAATCAACAAGGACCTATGTATGGCACAGGGAACTCTACTCAATACTCTGTAATAACTTATATGGAAAAAGAATCTGAAAAAGAATAGATATATGCATATGTACAATTAAATCACTTTGCTGTAGTATACCTAAAACTAACACAATATTGTAAATCAACTAAACTCCAATATAAAATTAAAAAATTAAAAAAAATAAGATAAAAGAAGATTGGTCAAAAGCCAAAATAATAATAATAATGTGTTTGTAAGGATGTGGAGAAAAGGGAACCCTTGGGCACTGTTGGTGGGAATGTAAACTGGTGCAGTCACTTTATAAAACCGTATGGAGGTTCCTCAAAAAACTAAAACTAGAACTATCATATGAACCAGCAATTTCACTACTGGGTATTTATCTGAAGAAAACAAAAACACTAATTTGAAAAGATAAATGCACCTCCACGTTCACTGGAGCACTATTTACAACAGCCAACACATGGAAACCACCGAAATATCCATCAATGGATGTACAGAGAACCTCCGGTCTACACACACATGCACACACACATACAGGAATATTATCCAGCTATAAGAAAGGATGAAATCTTGCCATTTAATCAACATAGATGGACCTTGATGGCATTATGCTAAGTAAAATAAGTCAGACAGCGAAAGACAAATATCATGTGATCTCTCTTATATATGGAATCTAAAAATAAATTATTTAAAAAAGTCAAGCTCACAGATACAGAGAACAGATTGGTGGTTGCCAGAGGTGGGGGGTGGGTGAAATGGGTGAACTGTTTTTTTTTTTTTCAGTTTAAATAAACTGAATGAAATAAAAATAGTTAATTCATCATATTAACAAACTGAAAAAGAAACTAAAAAAGAAAAATCTTATGATCATCTCAACAGATAGATTTGACAAAATCCAACATCCATTTCTGATTAAAAAAATTCTGAGGATATTAGGAATAGAAGGGAACGTCCTCAATTTGATAAAGTACATTTATGAAAAACCTAGGACTAACATAATTAAGGATTTTCTCCAAGATCAGGAAAAACGTAAGAATAGTTGCTCTTGCAACTTTTATTCAATATTTATTAGAGGTTCTAGCCAGTTCAAGAAGGCAAAAAACAAACAAAAGATTAAAAAGAAGATTGGAAAAAAAGTAAAACTGACTTTCATAGACATGATCATACATGTAGAAAATCCTATGGAATCGACAAAAAGTTTCTAGAACTAATAAGTGAGTTTAGCAAGCCTGTAAATTAAAAGATTAATATACAAAAATCAATTATATTTCTATATACTAGCAACAAACAATTGAAAACTGACATTAAAAATAATCCTATTTATAATATGAAATACTTGAGGTTAAAACTGACCAAAGATATGCAAGATCTGTACACTGAAAACTGTAAGATATTACTGTGAGGAATTTAAGAATACCTAAATAAATGAATAGATATACCAGGTTCATGGATTAGAGGACTCTACATTTTTGAGATATCAATTCTCCCCAAGTTGATATATAGATTCAATACATCAATTCAAATCCCTGCAGGGCTTTTTTTTTTTAATTTAAAAAAAATTTTATTTACTTAATTTATTTATTTTTGGCTGCATTGGGTCTTCGTTGCTGCGTGTGGGCTTTCTCTAGTTGCGGTGAGCGGAGGCTACTCTTCGTTTTGGCGTGCGGGCTTCTCATTGTTGTGGCTTCTCTTGTTGCAGAGCACAGACTCTAGGCACGCAGGCTTCAGTAGCTGTGGCTCGTGGGCTCAGCAGTTGTGGCTCGTGGGCTCTAGAGCGCAGGCTCAGTAGCTGTGGCACTCGGGCTTAGCTGCTCCATGGTATGTGGGATCTTCCCGGACCAGGGATTGAACCCGTGTCCCCTGTGTTGGCATGCGGATTCTTAACCACTGCACCACGAGGGAAGCCCCGCTGCAGGACTTTCTGAATTCGAATATTCAAAGCAATCTTGAAAATGAACAAAGTTGGAGGATTTATACTACCTGATTTCAAGACTTACTATAAAACTATAGGAATCAAAACTGTGTGGTACTTGGCATAAAGGGTTTATCAATTTTTGTTCATCTTCAGAGAAGCAACTTTGAGCTTTAATTTTCTGTACTGTCTGTTTTTTACTTTGTTGATTTCTGCTTTTATCTCTATTACTTCCCTCCTTCTACCTGGGTTTATTGTGTTTTTGGTTTTGGCTTGTTTTATTTTTGGCTAGCTTCTTAAAGTGGAACTTTAGATCCCTGATTTGAGACTTTTCTTCTCCAACATTAGCATTTCAAGTTATTAATCTCTTTATAAATATCTTACTTTTACTGATTTCTAATTGAATTAACTCTAGCCAAAGAGTGTAGTTTGTAAAACATCAATTATTTCAAATTTGAGACTTGTATTACATCCCAACCTATTTTATATCTCAGTGAACATATCATGTGCACTTGAAAAGAATACGTATAATGCCGTTATTGTGTGTTGTGTTCTCTAGATATCAATTAGGTCAAGTGGCTGACTGCACTGTTCAGATCATCTATTTTGTTAAGATTTTTAACATTTGCAGAAAAGGGGTGTTAAGTTCTTCAACTATGATTATGGAAAGACTTTCTCTGACTCATTCAATTTTTGCTTCATTATCTTTAAAGATCTGTTATGAGTGAAAACACTTCCATGTTTGTTATTTATTAGATGAACTGGCTGCTTTGTCACAATGAAACGTCTCTGGTGAGACTCCCTCCTGAAGTCTATTATTAATACAGGCACTCAGCCTTTTTAGGCGTGTTGTTTGGATTGTGCCTCTTCCCCATCCAATTGTTCTCAACCCATTTGTGAATTTATATTTAAATTGTACTCTGCAGACAGCACATACTTGGGTCTTGATTTATTTTTATCTGTTCTGACAATTTCTGCCATTTTATGTAATTATAGACTTGTTGGATTTAGAGCTATTATTTTATTGGTTTGATAGGTTCCCTGGTTTTATTGTTGTTGTTGTTGCCCTAATCGTCCTTTCCTATCCTTCTTTTGGATTATTTGTTTTTTAAATTTACATTTTAGTTTATCTCTTGGCTTTTTAGCTAATTTTTATATCTCATACTCCATCAACCCTGATATAGATTTTAAAATATCTGTAATGGCAATGGTTTCTGGAGACTAATTGTCAGTGTTTGATTCTCTACTCTGCCACTCGTTTGCTGTGTGACTTTGGGCAAGTTGTTACTTAACCTGTTCGTGCCTTAATTGCTCCATATATAAAACAGAAGTAATAACTTGCAGAGAAATGCATTTGGGGTCATGGTCCTCAGACCCAACTCATTATTAGCATAAGGTATAAACTCCAGGAGTACGGGCTTTCCAGAAAGCAAAAGACAGATGCAGTTCAAGAACATCTGGACTCTGATTCTGCTTTCTCTCCTTAGAATAAAGATGAGCACCTGTAGATGCTGAGACTGGTTTAAGGTCAGGAGAAATGATTATCAGTAAATATCCCTTATTCTTTAAATGAAAGCACGTAGATTGTAGTATAGATTCTTTCAAAACAGTCATACAAAACCAGAGTATACAAAGTATAGTGGCACAGTCAAAAAAAGAGCTTTCCATGTTGGGTGAGGCCCTACCTTGCATGGACTGTGTCGCTGACAGCTACACGCCCACAAAGGAATCCAGAGCATTTAAGAATAGGTACACTAAAAACACGCATCTGCTCCTCTCCTGAGGGACTAGCTTAACTCCAAAACAACTCTACCCGTGGCTAATTAGAAATAATAGAAATAACAGAATAAGATATACAGAAATCATCTAATAGTATAATATAATATCAATAATATAATAAAAAAACAAACAAATAATCTAGTCTCACAACAGCTGTCGATCTGGTCTTTTCCCACCAATCCACAATCCACCTAGTAACATAACGTTCTCCACCTCAAAGGGTGGTTGTGAGGATTAAATGAATTAATTTATATGAAGAACTAGGGGAAGGGAATGGTACACAGTCACAACTCAGCATATGGTAACTTATATACCAAAGACTAGCAAAGGTGTTAGACATAATCCGAAAACCTGATTGAACACGTTTGTCACCATTTCCTCATCCACAAACCTCATGAATAATGCAAAAGTGAAAAAGGATAGGAGACAGTAAAAAGGAATAAAAAGAAGACATCAGAATAGCTCACCAAATCATTATGTTAAAGGAAGAGCATTTCAAACATCCTGTCCTCACTGTTACCAAACAAAATTTGAATGTATATATGACCCATCTAGTCACAACTACAGTCCAAGTTTGAATTGGACACTTTCTTTCAAGGTCAGCAACAAAGTGACCCAAGGCAGTCCCATCAACAATTGAGGGCTTATTATTATGTATCAGGTACTATTCTAGGTGCCTTAAGTGTGTCAAGAGTTGACTGGCAAAGGACATAACTAAGAAATACAGTCCTAAGTATGTAACCAACATAAACATGATGATTTTTCCAAAAATACTGTAACTGAATTAAAGAAAAAAGTATTTATAATTTAGATGTCATTGCTAAGTAAATGGCATTAATGACTTGTTTTCTCACGACGGTGTATTTAACGTTGAGTGTATTTTAAAATAGAAGGTACCATGGTACCTGACTCCAGTGGTGGCATGTGAACAACGGTGCTGCTGTAGCTGCACTGCCTCACGTCCAGGCTCAGAGCCTCCTTGGTCAGGGCCTGTGGCGCTCCTCCTTCAGCATCTGTGGACCGTCCATTAGCTGGCATTTCTGATGTAGGTACGGCTGGGATCTGAGAAACAGCTGGTGATGTAAGAGCAACTGACAGTGAAAAGAAAAATTCCCAACTGGAAATTCAATATTAAAGACCCAAACAGTTTACACCCACTTATAAGTGACAAGTTAAAACCTACTGGCCATAAAGAGGCAATGTGGATTCTTTGTGATTACAATGAAATAATTAAAGTCAAAAGATGAGAGAGAAAACAGAGAGGGGTGGCTTTGTAATAACTCTCTTGATCTAACTATGAAAGGCATTCCTGTCACCTTGCAGTGCTTGGACATCATCTGCTCTGTGGCTTTGTCCGTCTTCTTCCGAGGACGAGGAAGTCGTATTTGTACAGGAGATACACTTTCTCTTCAAAGCTGGAATGTCGTAGCTCTTCAGGTACCTGCAACAAGGTAATTCGGTTGCGTATTCCTACCTGCTCCCACTTTGCCATCCTCCACCTTTCTGCTTTTCTCACGCCACCTCTGTTTGGGGTATTTCACATTCTTTTTTTTTTTGGCCGCGCTGCACGCCATGTGGGATCTTAGTTTCCCGAACAGGGATTGAACCCTGTGCCCCTGCAGTGGGAGCGCATAGAGTCTTTACCCCTGGACCACCAGGGAAGTCCTTCACTTTCTTCCTGGGTGAAGGCTTCCCTGGCCATCCTGGCCTACATCACGGGGTTGTTACATTTCCCTGACTATGGTCTTGAACTGCTCGTCAAATCTTAATTTTTATGAGTGTAGGTCTTGTCTTCTGAACTATATTCAAAGAAGGGATGCATCTTCTAATTTTTTGCATCCCCCCAAATGTTCAATTTATTATGAGTTGTTAGTAGTAGATATCCATTGATTTATAGTGAAAAATAAACAGCTGATAGAGGGGCTTCCCTGGTGGCGCAGTGGTTGAGAGTCCGCCTGCCGATGCAGGGGACACGGGTTCGTGCCCCGGTCCGGGAAGATCCCACATGCCGCAGAGCGGCTGGGCCCGTGAGCCATGGCCGCTGAGCCTGCGCGTCCGGAGCCTGTGCTCCGCAACGGGAGAGGCCACAACAGTGAGAGGCCCGCATATCGCAAAAAAAAAAAAAAATGATATAAAGGCCCCATAGTGACAACATACGCTTCTGGAAAAACTAACATGTTATCAAAACTTGTGTCTCATACCTGACAACGCTATCAATACAGTTTATCTGCTGATAGGATGGGCTATGCTGACACCTTCTCAAATCCTCACAAGACTCGGGGTACATGCTATTATTTTTTAATGTCTGGAAGGAAGAAAAGGTCTTCTGCTCATCTGAAAGAGAATGAAAGGATGCACAATTTAAAATATCACATGCTTGAGAATATGTATTTATTCAGCAAAATTAAATAGTACTTTGGGATATACATGATACTTTAGGACATATACAGTAAATATTATGTAGTTATTAAAAATGAGCTCAGATTTAAATGCACTGATATAGAAAGATATCACCTAGAACAATTACATGAATAATTTCATATGTATCTTTTAAAAATAGGAGTAAAACAACTGCTTCAGGCAAAGATTACCAAGGAATAAAACCAAAGGTGAAAGGTTGACGGGGACCTTCACAATGTTACTACCTGTACAACTGACTGATCTTGGCATCACTAAGGGGCATGACAGACATAGTGCATTGCTTATGTGTTGCAACGGAGAGTACACAGCACTGCTTGTGTTGAACTGGTGTCCAACAGAACGTTCTACAATGACAGAATTGTCCTTTATCTGTGCTGTCCAACCTGGTAGCCACTAACACCAGACCCAGCGACTAGCATTTGAAGTGTGGCCACAGCAACTGAGGAACTAAATTTCACATTTTATTTATTTGTAATTAATTTGAATTTAAATTGCAAAATGCGGTTAGTGGCTACCATACCAGATAGCAGAAGTATAGAGAGGAAAAAAGACCTCAGTCTGGAGTGCTGAAGAACTTGAACTTTCAGTAGAGAATAAGCCAGAAGGAGACTTATCCAGGAAGAGACAGATCCTGCAAGGTCTGGTGTCATGGAAACCAAGAGGGGAAACTATTTCAAGGAAGAAGAGTAAAGAATTATGCAAATGCTGTTGAGAGACTAAGAAATATTAGCTACTGTTGATACTATTAATAAAGGTTAGTTTAGCTGCTTGGAAGAGGCTTCTCTATTTTCAGAGGGAATTATGGAAAACTGCTTCACTTTCACTCATTAATTTTACTTTTTTTTTTTTCTTTGCGGTACGCGGGCCTCTCACTGTTGTGGCCTCTCCCATTGCGGAGCACAGGCTCCGGACACGCAGGCTCAGCGGCCATGGCTCACGGGCCCAGCCGCTCCGCGGCATGTGGGATCTTCAGGGACCAGGGCACGAACCCGTGTCCCCTGCATCGGCAGGCGGACTCTCAACCACTGCGCCACCAGGGAAGCCCTAATTTTACTTCTAATTTTTTAATAATTTTCAACTTGAAGGTTTCAAAGGGTTACAAAAATGGTAGAGAGTTCCCATATACCATTCACCCAGCTTCCACTAATGTCACACCTCACATAACCATAGGAAAATGAATGATACTAGGAAATTAACAGCAGCATACTGAGCTACAGTCCATTTGGATTTCACCTGTTTTCCCACTAAGTGTCACTTTTCTGGTCCAGAAGTCCAACCAGGGTGTCACAAGTGCATTTAGTTGTCAAATGCCTCCTTAGTCTTTCCTTGTCTTTCATGATCCTGACATTTTTGAAGAGTATGGGGCAGGAATTTTTTAGAAATGCCCCTCCATTTGCGTTTCTGTGGTGTTTTCTTATGATTAGGTTGAGGTCATGCATCTTGGGGAAAATTGCCACAGAAGTGCAGTTCATGATGGTGATGTTTTATTATTGACACATTAACCTTGATCGTTGGTTAAGGTGATGCCTGCCAGGTTTCTCTTATGTAAAGTTACTATTTTACAACGTAATAAAAGATGTAAGCAATAAATGTTCTGGAGGAATACTCTGAAGCCATGCAAATATCCTGTTTCTTTCATACTTTCACCTATTGTTTGCACAACACTGTGAATATACTTAATGCCACCAAACTGTACATTTAAAAATAGGAAATTACATACCTAAAACGACAATTTTAAAGAACCTTTCATCTAATTTTAGCACTCACTGGAGGATATGCCCGGCAACAGTTACTACTGTGGAATTCTTTCTTCATTCTCTAAGTCTTATTGAAATATAATTGACATACAGTAGTAAGTTTAAGGCGTACAGCATAATGACTACTGTGGCATTCTAATAGCAATTTCCTATTTTTTTTATTCCTACATTAATCAAACTTTTTCTATTAGGAAGAGTTTCCCTTCTCCCCTTTCCCTTTTATTTATTCATCCAATCATTTATCAGCAGGGACTCCTGGATACTCATTTGCTGTGTTATAATCCAATACTATCATTATTTATTTTGTTGCTCAAATTGTTCCACTTTTGGTCATTACGTGCTCTTTCAAGTTGTCTCCTGTGTCCCTCGGACATGCCATTTTCTCCCTTTTTTCTTGAGCACTTCCTTACTTCCTTACTTCTCTGGTTTCTTTTACGGGAAAAACACATAGGAACTAAGACCTGGGTGCTGGGTGTGCTCATTGGTAAATGTGTCCCTCCTTGTAGGTCCCCTCAATGGACAAAACAAATATATATCTGTATGTATATCAACTCTTGTCTGTCCATCCGTCCATCCGTCAAGCAAAAAGGCATGAGTTCATGCTGATACCCTTAACTCCAATCCAGCACCAGAGCTCACGCTAGCATTCCCTCTGCTCATTTGCTCTCTCCAGTAGCGAGGAATCTCATCATCTGCAATGTGTTTGCCTACTTGCTCAGTCCTACTGTGCATGTAAAGTAGCTTCAGAATCGCTAGCCTGCACTACGGTGAGAAATCAGTTTCCTGAACACTGTGTTTGTGTACATTTATGTTTTGGATTTAGTGCTGGGGTGTCCAGTGAAGACACCGATTTGCAAAGCTACTCAGCAACTTTCTTCCCCACCTGCTTCAGGATGTTTATGCCATTAGTTTGTAACTTGGTTAGGGTCACTTGTCACAGCCTATACCTCATCTTGGGTTCCCTCTACATTCTGGGGTGGGGTGAGGCACAACAGATCTATGAGTTTTAACAAATGCACAGCCAGTTGTGATTCCACCACCAGAGTAACAAAAAGGACGTTTCTCTCACTCAAACAGTTCCCTCCAGCTGCCTCTTTGCAGTCAACACATCCCGCAACCTTAGCAAATACTGATCTGTTTTCCGGACCTACTGTGTTCCAGAAGTAATGCCTTCCCAGAACAGAACCACACAACATGCAACCTTTTAGCTCTGGCTTCTTTAACTTAGCAAAATGCATTTAAGATCCATCTGCATTGCTGCATGAATCAAGTTCATTTTTTTTTTTCTTTTCTCTTTTTTTTTTTTTTTTTGCGGTACACGGGCCTCTCACTGTTGTGGCCTCTCCTGTTGCAGAGCACAGGCTCCGGACGCACAGGCTCAACGGCCATGGCTCACGGGCCCAGCCGCTCCGCGGCATGTGGGATCTTCCCGGACCGGGGCACGAACCCATGTCCCCTGCATCGGCAGGCGGACTCTCAACCACTGAGCCACCAGGGAAGCCCAAGTTCATTTTTCTTTATTGCTGAGTAGTATTCCATTGGGTGGATGTATCACAGTTTATCTACTCACCTGCTGAATGACATGGAAGTTGTTTCCAATTTTGGGTGAGTGTGAATAAAGTGTCATAAACATTTTCAGACAGGATTTTGTGTGAACTTGCTTTTTTTCACTTGGGTAAATAACTAAGAATGGAATTGCTGAGTAATATGGTAAGATTATAAGATATTTACCTTTATAATAAATTGCTGCATTTTCCCAAGTGGCTGCACAATTTTACATTACCCTCAGCAACGTGTGACAGCTCCCGTTACTCTGCATTCTTGCCAGAACTTAGTATTGTCAGTTTTCGTTCTTTTAATTTTAGCCATTTTAACGGGTGTGTGATGTGTTTTTAACTTCCTAATGACCAATGAGACTGAGTGTTGTTTCATATGCTATTTGCCATCCATACATCTTCACTGGAAAAGTGTTTAGATCTCTTGACCATTTTAAAATTGGGATGTTTAACTTCTTATTGTTAAATTTTGAGAGTTCTTTATGTATTCTGGATACAGCTCTTTACATATAATTTCCAAATATTTTGTCTTTTCATTGTCTTACCGATGTGTTACCAACGTCTTTCAAAGAAACAGTTTTAATTTCAATAAAGTCTAATTTATCAATTTCTTTCTTTTATGGATCATGATTTTGATGTCATATCTAAAACCTCTTTCCAAACCCAATATTACAAAGATTTTCTCCTATGTTTTCTTTTGGAAATTTATATTTTAAAAATTGAAGTATAATCGACAGGCAACATTCTACCAGCCTCAAGTGTACAACATAATGTGTCAACATTTGTGTACACTGCAAAATGATCACAATGATCTAGTTACCATTTGTCACCATATAAAGTTAAAGAATGTTTTTCTTGTGATAAGAGCAACTTTCAAATCTGCAGTACAATATCACTGACTATAGCCCCCAAGCTGCACGTTACATCCCTATGATTTATTTGTTTTATAGATGGAAATTTGTACCTTCTGATCCCTTCACCCATTTTGCCCACCTCCCAACCCCCTTCCCCTCTGGCAACCACCGATTTATTCTCTGTATCTAGGAGCTCTGCTTTGTAGTTTTAGATTCCACATACGAGTGAAATCATATGCTACTTGTCCTTCTCTGACTTATTTCATGTAGCATAATACCCCTGAGGTCCATCCGTGTTGCCACAAGGAAGATGTCACTCTTTTTTTGTAGCCAAATAGTATTCCATTCTCTCTCTATATCAGTTCCTTTATCCAATCACCCACGGATGCACACTTAGGTTGTTTCCATATGTTGGTTATTGTAAATAATTCCGCAGTGAACATAGTGGCGCACATATTTTTTCAAATTAGTGTGTTGGTTTTCTTCAGATAAATACTCATAAATGGGACTGGATCATATGGTAGTTCTATTTTTAATTTTTTGAGGAAGCCCCATACTGTTTTCCATAGAGGCTGCACCAATTTACATCCCCACCAACAGTGTAAATGGGCTCCCTTTCCTCCTCGTTCTCACCAACACTTGCTATTTCTTGCCCTTTTGACGACAGCCATTCTGACAGGTGTGAGCTGGTATCTCATCGCGGTTTTGATTTGCTGCAGTCCCCGGCTATCACTGTGGATTTGTTTATTTCTCCTTGAAGTTTTTATCAGTTTTTGCTTCGTGTATTTTGAAGCTCTGATGTTAGGTGCCTAAACAGGATTGTTTTATATTCTCAAAGAATCACCCACCTTGTCTTTATGCAATATCTCTCTGAAGCCCTTGTTCTAAAGTCTACTGTGTCTGACCTTAATATAGCTTTCCAGTTTTCCTTTGATTCCTGTTAGCATGGTATATCTTTTCTAACCTTTTACTTTTAACCTATGTTTTTAATTTTCATAATGGGTTTTTGTAGATAATAGGTAACTGCATCTTGTTTTTTCATCCAATTTCACAATTTCCAAGTTTTTTCACTGATATACTGAGATCATTCACATTTAATGTGATTGATGTAGCTTGGGCATAATGTGATAGGCCCAAGTGTGTGGTGTTTTTCTTTTTTTCTTTTTTTTTTTTTTGTATTTATGCTACTTGATGTTCTTTGAATCTGGAAAGTCAGCCATCATTTCAAGTATTTTTCCCGGGATTCCAATTACTCATATGTTGGATCATTTAATCTTGTCCCCAAAATGTACCTCTTGCTGTTTTCCATTTGTTCCATCTGGGTTTTTTGTTTCTTTTTTCCTCCTTTTCTACCTCATTTTGGGTTAAGTGTTTTAAATTACATTTTAACACCTCTACTGACATTATTTACACTTCTTTAAAAACTTTTACTAATAATTGTCCTAAAGTTTACAATATACATCTTTAAGGACTCAGTTTCTATCTCCAAATAGCATACTCCAAATACTATAATATGGGAAGAATTTACACAGTATATTCCTAATACCTCACTCCCATCCTTTGCAGTATTTTTACATATGTTATATGTGCAGAATACTATTGTTGCTTTAGTTAGTTATGTTTTACAGTAATTAAAAATAAGTAAAAAATAAAATTTATTTTATCTTCATTTATTCCACTTCCAGTGCTCTTCATTTCTTTGTGCAGATCCAAGTGTTATGTCTGACATCATGTTCCTTCTACCTTTACAAATTCCTTTAGGATTCTTATAGAACAGATCTGCTGGCAATACATTCCCATAGTTTTTGTCTGAGAAAAATCTTTATATCTCCTTCATTTCTGAAAGATACTTCCCACTGCGTGTACCATTCTACGCTGACGGTTTCTTTCCTTTGAAGATGTTACTCTATTGTGTTCTAATGTTCACAGTCTCTGAAGAAATGTCTCCTGTAATTCTTATTCTTATCTTTGTTTTTCTGTAATCTATCATTTTCCTCTGGTTGCCTTCAAGATATTCTCTTTGGTTTTATTTTAGTTTGAATATGATATGCCCAAGTGTGTGGTGTTTTTCTTTTTTTCTTTCTTTTTTTTTTTTTTGTATTTACGCTACTTGATGTTCTTTGAATCTGGAAAATCAGCCATCATTTCGAGTATTTTTCCCGGGATTCCAATTACTCATATGTTGGATCATTTAATCTTGTCCCCAAATTCTTAAAAGGCTCTCTCTCGTACGTTCCTTTCTCTCTGTGTCTCAGCTGTGTAATTTCTATTTATCTATCTTCAACTTTACTGATTCTTTTCTTGTTTGAGTGCCCACCAAAGGCATATATTCATCTCCAGCATTTCTAACATTTCCATCTGATCCTTTCTTTCGTGTTCCATCTCGATGCTGTGATTACTTCGGCGGTTTCTGCATGTTACCTACTTTGTCCATTAGAGCCTTTAATGTATTTATTATTCAGAGTTATTTCCAACATCAGTGTCCTACCCAACTCTTGTTCTTGTTCGGATGACTGCTTTGTCTCTTAGGAGGTTTTTTTCCTTGCTTTGCATATGCTTCATAATTTGCTGAAAAGTGAACATGTATAAGACAGTAGGGACTGAGCATGCCTCTCCTTCCACTAGGTCTGTGTTCCGGTTAATCTAATTAAACTTTAGGCCAGGTCTGAGGTTTGTTGTTGCTATGGTTTCACTCACTGTATGACAGCTTTCAGATCCCTCTAGTGACACGCTGTGCTTCAGGTGGAGGCTGGTTTCCTGAGAGCTCTTTTTTCCAACATCTGCTCCACTTCCAGGCTTTGGTCTTCCCTGCACTGTGCCTCAGAGAAGGTCTGTCTCTTGTAGGTGACTTGAATCAGTCAGTCACAGGATCCAGCACTTACCCCACTTCTCCTTGCAAGTATGTGCCTCTCCTCAGATTTCAGGCCTGCTGGCTGCCCTGTAACCTCAGCACTCTGACGGGTTCAAGAAAGAACACGAACTTGCTGCCCGTCTGGCTTTTTACCTCGTAAGTTTGGAATGATGCTCTTTCCAGCTCTCCCTGAGCAGAAACCAAAGCACTCTCACTCTGAGTTAGTTCAGTGTATGAATCACCTTCTTTCACTTGGGCTTTGCATCACCGTCGCAGTAGAACGTTCAGTTTTCCTCAATTTCCCCAATTACTTCTCTGGCAGCTGGCATCGGTCTGTATGGCTGAGGAAGGAACTTTACATCTCTTTGTTGTTCCTTGCCTTTCCGTAATAAGTTTAAAAGTTTCCCTTCTTTTTTTAAAAAAAAATTTATTTATTTTATTTATTTTTGGCTGTATTGGGTCTTCGTTGCTGCACGTGAGCTTTCTCTAGTTGCGGCGAGCGGGGGCTACTCTTCGTTGTGGTGCACGGGCTTCTCATTGCGGTGGCCTCTCTTGCTGTGGAGCATGAGCTCCAGGTGCATGGGCTTCAGTAGCTGCGGCACGCAGGCTCAGTAGTTGTGGTTCATGGACTCTAGAGTGCAGGCTCAGTAGTTGTATCTCACAGGCTTAGTTGCTCCGTGGCATGTGGGATCCTCCCGGACCAGAGATCGAACCCGTGTCCCCTGCACTGGCAGGCGGAATCTTAACCACTGCACCACCAGGGAAACCCAAAAGTTTCCCTTCTTATTCTATTCTAAAGCATAACCTGCCTTTATAAGAAAGGTAAACATACATACTTAAAACCTTATGTTCTTGTGTGTTCCAGCACCCTGTATAAAATAAAATATATATACAATGACCACTTAGTATTTTCCTTTTCATTGGTGTATATCTCTACTCAATTTTTAATATTCAAATTACAACGTTTTCTATCTTTAAGTCACCTTCTTGTTTCTCTTCAGTAAAGAGTAATAAAGATTTTTTTTTACTAGCTCTTTAAACTTGTAGGTCTTAAGCTGTTAATAAAAACAAGATGCCCAAATAACATTAGTTCTCCAAAGTTATTCCAAATGGCATAACTTCCCCCCAAAGTGGCATCCTATGTGTATTAGTCAAATATAGCACATAGCTAGGTAGTAAGAAAATTGCAGTTTCTAAAATAGCAGCCTAAGTACACAGGGTTAGACATAGCTTAAATTTTATAAAATGTTGAATGATTGAATATGGATGATGCTTAAATATACAGCCTTCAAAACAACAGCACTGATGGTATTACTAGACCAATGCAACGACAGGTGAAAAGAAACGGAATAAAGCAGGAGGTTAGAAAGGATTTCTACCCTGAGAAGAAATTCCAGAGGTCAGGATGTAAGATTGTGGCACTAACATGAGGTCGTAGGCCAAGGCAGCAGCAAGTAGCACTGACTGGATCAGACAATGAAGAAAACATCTAGAAAGTTTAGATTAAATCTCCTCAAAGGGGCTTCCCTGGTGGCGCAGGGGTTGAGAGTCCACCTGACGATGCAGCGGACACGGGTTCGTGCCCCGGTCCGGGAGGATCCCACATGCCGCGGAGCGGCTGGGCCCGTGAGCCATGGCTGCTGAGCCTGCGCGTCCGGAGCCTGTGCTCCGCAATGGGAGAGGCCACAACAGTGAGAAGCCTGCGTACTGCAAAAAAAAAAAAAAAAATCTCCTCAAAGAATTTTCTCTGGCAGGATATGGAATAATGATACATAACAAGAAAGATATTTAAGATAAATTCTTTTGTGGGGGATATCTGATGGTTTCACGGGACCAAAAAATGTTGTCATTTCTACCTTGTGCCCTTACGTCTACAGCAAAAGAAACAAACAGAACTTGAAACCTCCTGCCAAGATGAATAAGAACCCAAAAAACTAAAGGACGGGACTTGCTGTATCTGGAGGGTGTCCTAGGGGCTCTCAGTGATATCACCTGTAGGAGCAGCAGTTTGATATTTTTCTTGTGGCAATCATATCAAGTCCTGAAAAGTACAGCTACTATTATTATTATTGACTTAAGAGAAGAATTTTCACCCTACTGTGTAGAACACCCACATTTGACAGTGGTAGGGACCATCAAGGACATTTAGGTGGCCAAAATCTATAACGACTTCCCAAATTATATTGATATTAACATTCAAGGAGAAAAATTAAGAAAAAGTTATCTAAGTTAAGAAGTTAGCATAATTTGATCTTTATATTATAAAACTTTATATATACAGAACTATATAGTTCTGTATATAGAAGCACGCAGGTTAGCTTCTCACAATAACGTCAACTATCACGACGGATCCAATTCCTCTGGGGTGCTCCCTACCTCGTATTTGAGAAAAGTAAACATGTAATCAAGAAAAAGGCCAAGTTTTTCATTCAATTTAGGTCACAAACATTCTCCATTTGTTTGAAATGAAAGGGAGGGATTATCATTTTAATATACTTATTATCTGAAATGTATTCTAAAATTCCCTCTTTTGGTTTACAGGTAGCTCATATGGAGGGAATCCACGAATTGGGTGGAGTTAGCAGAAAGGTCAGTTCTTTAGTAGAAGTATACTGTGAATACGTTCCAATACCATTTAGCTTTCGGGACGGTATTTGCTGCTGCCATCGTTATTAGTAGTAGTACTGTTACTTTTGTAATCTGGGCACGTAAGCCTGAACAGCAGCAGCCCAGAGTCGTGGCTTCGTGAGGGCCGCTCTGGGAGGGGGCGGGGCGACCCTGCTGACTCACCACCACGCAGTCCCGGGTCGGTCTCCACCACTCGCTTCTTTGGCGATCTGGCCCTTGACTCGATGTGCAGCCGCTGGCCTAGATGCTTGATTTTGTTTACACTGGCATGGACCTGCTGCAAAGTCAACTTAGGGAAAAGAATGATAACCAATGTTTCAAAGATTACAAAAGTGTGCATGAAAAGATACATAAACGAAATACATTTAACTTTTGGTTCTCTGTAGACAGAATGACTGAAAGCACAGTAATAGCATTAATTCAGTCTCCCGCTGCACCACAGCACACGAGGAGCAGTGAAGCTTTACAGCAATCTGTCCACAACATGCTAATTTTTAGGAAGCACACAATTGACCCAAATATCACCTTCTAAAGGTGATATTTTCTTTTTAGAGACATTTTCCCAAACCGGAATGGATCAGAATGTCTATTACCCGATGAGATCTTCCAGACGAGAACTAAGAAGCCACATGTGTCGAGGTACAGAACCAGCACCGACACGTTACGGTTAACGACACAGGAAGAAAAGGACACGTGCTCAGAAGCACACGTGTGCTTGCTCACCGGTGCCTTCTGCACCTCCTCCATGCAGCGCTCGCTGGACTCACTGGAGGATGCGATGCTGAGGTGATGCTCCTGAGACCCGCTGCTCCCCAGGCTCCCATAGCCACTGGATGCGCTCCCGTGAACGGGCTGCAAGAGAGAGGGGCCCGTCGCAGCCCCGGGTGATGCGGCCATCAGAGGAGAGACACAGCATTACCTACCTCTGAGCTTATCTACAGTCATCACAAAATTAAGATTAAAATTTCTGAAATCCTAAATGAGGTGTGTGAAGGATGATGCTGACATGAAAGACATTCCTCTCTCATCTTGGTAATTCTCAAGGGCAGAACCTACTTTTCTAGTCTAGGTGGGTATTTCTAGAACAAACGTTTTAAAAGTCACAGTAAATAAATTTAACAAAACATGAAAATAAACTCTAACTCTTTATGCTGAGTTTGGAATAGACAGAACATATTAAATATATACTGTACTTTTCCCCAAGAACCTCAGAGATACTTTATGAACTCTAGAGACTGTATGAAAGTTATTTTGAACACTACTGGGTAACAGTTTTAGTGATACCATCAGTAAATGCTTGACAAGTTTACTGACTGACTCTCTAGTAGAAAGCATTTTGGTATTTGTTTTCAACAAGCAGTTTTTCCTACTTTGGCTCATAATGACTAGAGATACAGAGACCTGCCACCCCTCTCCCCACCTTTGAAACTGTAATTATTAAAAAAAAATAGTGAAGCCAAAACACTGGCAGCGTCTGGAATACAAGAATGATTCTTTCATTTAGAAATAACTTCTCTCTCTTATTGCTTCCTATGACTCTGTTTGTCGTCTTAAATTGGATTCTTACAAAAAGTCCTGTGTATTTAACACAGAAAAAAGGAAAACAAGATTAATGAAATTTAATTTGAAAACAAAAAGAGGAAGACAAAAATTTCTGGAATGTAGAGGGTAAGGATTTCTCTCTCCTCACGGTTTATTTCTGTGAAGTGACTTTACTAAGACTGAATGTTAAAATTAAAGACAATTATGGGAATATTATGTTTGTTTTTTTAAAATCTCTCACTTTACCTGTAAGAGAAGTCTGTGAATTTGTTCTTGTAATTCTGTTATGTCTTTGTCATTACTGTTCATCTTCTTTATTCTGGCGGCAAAAACATTCTCATTTAGTGGACTCCTACAAAATGCCAAGTGAAAGATTGAGTCAGACAATTTCAAGTTCATTTACAGCGAAGGCTAAAGTGATTCTTAATAGAAAATTCAAACAATAAACCTATGCTTTTACAAAGCAGCTCTTCAAGTCCAAATATAGAAACTATGAAGCTCAAACTCTATTCATAGAGGTAGAGAGAATCCTAGGAAACAAATGAGGTATTAACCGTCTTCTTTAGTTTCTCTGCAGCTGTAATCATTCCACTGTATCTGTATAAATTTAAAATCAGTGGTAGGTATACCCCTAGCTACTAAAATATCTTTAACAGCTACTGGTCTCAGAATTTAACATGAACTGAGTAACCTACTGGCTGTGAGAAATTTTAGGACTTTAAGTTTGGCAAACACACTGAATGCTTAATGTACTTAATCACTCAAGCTACCTAGTAACGATGATTCTGCAGCCCACCCGCGTGGCGAACATGTGGTTGCCACAAAATCTTCAGTCTTATTTATACCCCAATTCTAGAGCATCTGAAATCTACCACCGGAATACAGTGAGAGGCAGACACGTCAGCAGAAAGAGCAGCAAAGACAAGCGACTGACATTCACTTAGGCCCCTCTATGTAACAGGAAGTGCTGTTTTATAACACACATCAAGAATAAGTGACATTTTCTACACCCTTACGACGTGCCGGGCGCTGTGCCAGCCGCTCCACCAGGCACCCCCTCCTCGCTTCCCTGAGCCAGACCCCGGCTCAGGTCCCCCGCTGTCGGGTCTGCCAGGTGCTCCCGGGGCCCAGAGTCCCGGCTCCAGGCCGCACACTCTCGGCCACCACACCGTCCCGCCTCTCGGCACCTCGGTCGCACTAGTGCTGCTAATACCGGACGTGCCGCGGGCCAGACACGTCACCTCCTGAGTCCTCGCGACCCTGGGAGGTAGGAATCAACCCGGCAGAGGTGAAGAAACTTGCCAAGTTGCCGTGGCCAGGCGGCCGGGGCGCGTCTGAAGCCACACGCCCGACCCCCGAGCCGGCTCTCCCTCCTTTTCCTGTTACCAGTCCTGCACACTGCCTCTCACACCTCAGACACGCGGCAACACTTCCCCAAAGACAGAAACTCCTAGCAGGAACGGCGGGACGCCAGCGGGGTCACGGGAGGCGTCAGGAAGAGGCCGCGTCCCCGGCACAGGCCCCCCGCCCCCGCCCAGACCCTGGGAGGCGCCAGGCCCTGTCCGGGGGCACCGGCTCTGCCATGCGGGACGCGGAGGGCCAGCTGCACCTGGACGACAGCCTGACACTGGCACGTCTCAGGTCTCAGGTGCCCCTCCTGTCCTCCGCCCCCTGCCCCCGCCCTCCCCCACCCGCCGCTGGGCGCCAGGCTCCTCCCGCGCTCCGTTAGTTCCTCTGGCGCCTCCCACGGGCCCGGCATGTAAAAGCGTGGCCGCTTCAAAGAAGGGTCCCTGGGGGCTAAAGTGCATCCCCGTGTGCTATGAGCCTGAATGTCTTCCAGAGGCGTCTGGGCTGCTGTTCAAGTGCAATGCTGAGTGGAAACAGAACGTTCTGCTTTGTGCTATGAGATGTGGATGTTCCCAGGCGTGACCCTTCCGACAAAACCAAGTTGGGCTTTTAATCACCAATTACAGAACTCAAAGGATTCGCCGCCTTCATCAAATGGTGTCAAGCTCGGCATGAAGTGTTGGCTGCGGCGGTGGCGGCGGCGGCGGACGTCAGGAAACGGGTCTAGGAGTAAAGAAGGAAATCTGGTGTCCGTCTCCACTTTGCAACCTCCTGCCTCAGTGATCGCCGGGAAAGTGACTCTGTTTCACAGAATGCGGGTTGGTTTGTTTGTTTTGTAAAATCAGAGGTAACTGCAACTAGCCTCCCTTCCCACAGAGCCGCTGGGAAGGACCTGGAGAGAGCCGGACACTCCCATAGCCCCCTCCCTACTTCAACTGTCACACTTTCCAAAACTCTGCTCAGCGCATCACAGTGCCATTGCTGTTTTCCGTTCTCCCATACGCGGTGGGCAAAGGGAACGTCTGTTCTGTTTATAACCTCAGCCTCAGCCTAGCACAACGCCTGACTCAGCAGGTGGCCGTAAACACTTACTGAAGGAATAAATGCATTAAAATAATTTTATAAGCGTAATAGATAATTACCGTTCGATGAGAGAAATTAATACCTACTAGCCTCTAAACTCTTTCCCTCACATAATCCTGGATCTTGAGATGCAATTATTGGTGTAATTTTAAAAAACACTGAAAACATTGGGAGTACTAATATGTCGGTTTATTCCATATATTTTTAATCAAAGAACTGAAAGGATGGCTTGGTGAATGAATCTAGGATGCACCTCTAGCACTGACAGGGAGGTACTCAGACTGGTCAACAGACACCCAGATGGACGTCTCGTCAGAGGAACTGTACTTGCTTCGGGGTTTCCTATATTCATCCTAAGCAACCATCTGATTTTTAAAAAATATTTATTTATTTGGCCGTGCCGGGTCTTAATTGTGGCACGCGGGACCTTTTTTGAGTTGCGGCATGTGGGATCTAGTTCCCAGACCAGGGATCGAACCTGGGCCCCCTGCATTAGGAGGGCGGAGTCTAAGCCACTGGACCACCAGGGAAGTCCCCAACCATCTGATTTTATTTTCATTTCCCAAGAGGTCTCCCTACTGGGAAAAAAAAAGTCCTTTCTGAGCAGCACGAATAGCACTTCCTTGGCAGTCATGTTCGTTACCTCAATTATCCAGTCAGTTTTCTACCATAAATCAGCCTCATGAGTCAGGGAGGCAAGGAGCCCGATTCTTCCATTAAAGCGGCAGACCTCCTCTGCTGAGAGGCCAAACCCTGGAGCACAAAAAGGTCAGAGCAACCTGAGGCCTATCTCACAGTGGCCAAAACATCACTCTCTCACGATATAACACGTGATAAAATACTCTTACTGGGAGATGTACTGTTCTGTACACAGAAGTTTTATTCTTCTGTGTACAAAGTTGTATAACAAAATACAAAAGACAGAGTTGCTCAATTTCAGCATGACACTGAAGAGTTAAGTATAATTTCCACTCTTAAAAGAAATAGACATCAAAAGGAAACTTATGGGATGGGCCAGTTAAGAAACCTACAGGTCAACTTTAAATGGACCACAAAGTCCAGGGACTACAGGAGTATCTCAGATTACAGGAACCGTGGTCCCGGTTGCCCTGGATCCATTTTGCAAGGCTGTTGTACGGACAGGTAACAACAATCAAGCGGGCTTGGGTCAGCCATGCTGGCAGCAGAATAAATATGAAAGAATTTAAATATTAAAAATAAAGATTTAGGGACTTCACTGGTGGTCCAGTGGTTAAAGACTTTGCCTTCCAAGGCAGGGGGTGCAGGTTCAACCCCTGGTGGGGGAGCTAAGATCCCACATGCCTCGAGGCCAAAAACAACAAAACATAAAACAGAAGCAATACTGTAACAAATTCAATGAAGACTTCAAAAATGGTCCACATAAAAAAAAAAAAAGATTTAATAAAATTGACACAAATAAGTGGAATTTGACAGCAGAAGGCTGATATAAAAAATTTGACATGCTCACTGAAGAGAACCTTAAAATTCAGAGAAGGAAAAAAAACAAAACTTCACCCAAAATCCCACTATCCACACATAACCAAAATGTATTTTCTTTCCTTCTAATCTTCTTTTTCCTATTTCATAGTGTTTGTGTTTTAAACATAATTATAATCATACTGTATAAAAACTTCTGTATGCTGCTTTTTACATCATCGAATATATCAATTTCCCATACTCTCTGTAAAAATTTTTATTGACCAATATAATAACATGTCAAGCAGATATTTCAGAATCTACTTAATGATAGACATTTAAGCTATTACAATTAAAAAATGCTGCAAAATCTGTCTTTTCTTTATAAGGCTTTCTGTATTTCGGCTTCTTTAGAATATTCCAATAAGGGAATCGTTAGGCCAAGGAGGTAGAAATCTTACAAAGCCCTTGATACTTATTGCCAAACTGTCTTCCAGAAGCACTGAAAAAAACCTGTCCTTCGTTTAGTTCACGTGTTAGTTGATTCAAAGGGGAATCAATGGGCCAAAGAACATTATTTGGAAAAAGATTTTTTAGAAAATATGCAAACTGACTGACTTACGTTCGCACTTTATGCCGACCGATGATGAAAGAAACCTTCCGGCTCCATGGGTTCACAAAGCTGGACCAACTGGAATCCAATACAATGTAATCCCCATTTTGAGAACAAAATCTAATGGGTGAATGTTCAAAGGGTAGATGGCCTGCATACTTCAAGACTATATAAAATAATAAGACAAAATTAGAATTTATTTAACACGGATATTGATTACAAATGTCTTTTTTTAAGGCATTTGTTTGTAAGTGTTTTAGAATGTCAAAATAGAAAAAAAAAATTGTTTCAGCAGTTCCAATACATTGCTTACCTGGTTAAAGGTTAAGCTCTAACGATTAGAGCTTATGACAAACTTAAAAAGATCAATGAGGGCTTCCCTGGTGGCGTGGTGGTTGAGAGTCCGCCTGCCGATGCAGGGGACGCGGTTTTGTGCCCCCGTCCGGGAGGCTCCCACATGCCGCGGAGTGGCTGGGCCTGTGAACCATGGTCGCTTAGCCTGCGCATCTGGAGCCTGTGCTCCGCAACGGGAGAGGCCACAGCAGTGAGAGGCCCGCGTACCGCAAAAAAAAAAAAAAAAAAAAAAAAAAAAAGATCAATGAAAAAGAAATGTCCTCCTATAAAGAAGTAGGTCCTTACCTTTTTGGTGTATGGCGACCATTAGAGAACGATCTTCCGGGTGCAGGTATGTCAGGATGGATGTTCCAATCAGATCCTGAGGTAGGTAACCCAGCAGAGGCACTGCTCTGAGCACAGACACAGCACAGGCAGCATGTCACACGCACCAAGTAACTCATACCTTATATACTTTCAACAGTACTTTTCAGCTAAACTCTAAATATGACAAAGGGTATGCAAAAGATGTTCATTACAGCATTTATAAATGCTACAAACAACCCAAGTGCCTATATTGTGGGGAAATAGATACACAATCTAAGAAGTGTTGGTCATCTGACATATTGCATCAAAATCACCTGTGAAACTTCTAAAAAACAGATTTGCAGGCTCACCACAAGCTTACTAAATCAGAATTTCTGTGGTAAGACTAGGAGTCTATATTGTTAACAAGTTCCTCAGAGGTCTCTGATGCCCTCCATTTCGCTGCCTTTTAAAAAGTCTACAAAGATCACATTATAACATAGAAAAATGCTTATGATGTTAAATGAATAAAGCAGCTAAAAATTTTCTACAGAATAATTAAAATTATACAAAAACAATGTCTCCCAAAAGGTGATATCAAATAGACAACCAGTCACAAAGCCATTTGTAGGATAAAGGTTCATGGGAAAATTCTGATGTACAGACACTCAAGATGACTTAGACAAAACTGACTCCAGAAACATTTTCTATGTGTACAAATTCACAAATACTTTCTATTGCAATAAATTTAAGCTGTTTTCAGAATAACTTCAGCTAAAATTTTCTTACCTTCTACAGATTATATTATACAAAGTATCTCACTAATTACTGTTTAGTTTCAGGGTAACTAAACAGTAATAAATAGGTAATAAACCCATTTCCAGATGTTAAAAAAAATTTTTTAAAGCTTTTTTTTTGGCCGCATCACTCGGCTTGTGGGATCTTAGTTCCCCGACCAGGGATTGAACCTGCGCCCTCGGCAGTGAAAGCATGGCATCCTAACCACTGGACCGCCAGGGAATTCCCTGTATGTTAAGATTTTTTAAAAACCAAAATTAAGGGCTTCCCTGGTGGCGCAGTGGTTGAGAGTCCGCCTGCCGATGCAGGGGACACGGGTTCGTGCCCCGGTCCGGGAAGATCCCACATGCCGCGGAGCGGCTAGGCCCATGAGCCATGGCCGCTGCGCCTGCGCGTGCAGAGCCTGTGCTCCGCAACGGGAGAGGCCACAACAGTGAGAGGCCCGCGTACTGCAAAAAAAAACCAAAACAAACCAAAATTAATAACTATCATAACTGTGCCAGGTTTTTTGACATTTTTGCTTATGCTTATCTGTGGTACGGTACATTGGTTCTCAGATTTTCAGATTTCACAAATAAGTAAAATTTTTAAGTAAATGTGGGTGGAAATGGAGGGTACGAACAGGGGATAACAATGTTTTGTTTTTCCAAATAAAGGTATCAAAAAAACAACAATAAGCAACAACTATTATGTACTGTCACTAACTCTTTAAATAAGAAAGACTATTTTAATAACCAAAAAAAAAACAGGAAGGACGCTAAGTTCAAAATAAGTAACAGTTCTTCACACACACGATAAATCTGCCTTATTTTTCTTTCTCTTCTCCCCCACTTCAGACTAATAAAAATTCATTATAAACTGTTTAGGAAGCACCTGCCTAGTGGAAATAACACTGGAATAGGACTTGGAGGCCAGAGTCGTGGTCTCATTTGGACCACAGTCATCTAATACCACGTGGCCCACGTTCATTGTCCTCTTGTGCAAACTGGAAAAATAATTTCTGACTTTCCTAAAGCTTTGAAATAAATATGATAATGTGTAAATCTTAGCACTATAACATGCAAGATATTTACATTAAAAATTTACACAACACGGGACTTCCCTGGTGGTCCAGTGGTAAAGAATCCACCTTCCAATGCAGGGGACACAGGTTTGAGCCCTGGTCCGGGAACTAAGATCCTACACGCCGCGGGGCAACTAAGCCCGCACGCCATAACTACTGAGCTCGTGCATCTCAGTGAGACAGCTTGCATGCCGCAAACTACAAAGCCCACGCGCTCTGGAACCCGCGCGCCGCAACTAGAGAGAAGACCGCGCGCCGCAACGAAGAGATCCCGCGTGCCTCAACAAAGACCCCGTGTGCCGCAACTGAGACCCGACGCCGTCAAAAATATATACATAAGGAAAATAAATAAATATTAAAAAAATTTACACAACACGAATTTCAAACTAACAAAACTCAAATGCGCAAATGAATAGATTCAGCTCTATCACGTTACGTTTAACATGTTAAACGTTATGTAAACGTTTAAATATTTTTATTTATTTTCAGAAACAAATTTCTTTTAGGCTTAAAGACGTACTTACCTTTCATCTATTTCAAGAAAAACACACCCGGGGGTGTGTGTTGTGGTAAAAATTCTTTTATCCACTGGGATTCGAGGAGCTATGGAAACCAGAAAGACTGGTTTAAAGGCAAATACCTAATTAACTATCCACTTAACATATTAAAGAGGGAACAAACTCTATAGGCCCTGGCAGAAATCTCACCTAGGGACCTGGCCTTTGAGCAGCCAAAGCTAATAACTTTCATTATTAACCACATTTTAATTAGGTCAAAACGTGATGCCTACTAAGGTTAATTTTAAACAGACAGAAAGTCTGTGTACATCGAATAGCTTATCCATCACAATCTAACAGTCAAAGATGGGGTCGTTTAGAGTTCAGGACAAAAATGTTTCATATTTAGTGGTTGAATACAACTAAGCAAATAGGATGTGAAACGTCAGAACAATAGGGACGTATTTAATCTGTAATAAAATTGGCAGGGTCAGTGCTGCTACAGTCTGCTTTGACAATGTAGTGATTAGCACATTAGGGAACAATTTGAGCATGACACTAACTCCGCTTAGGCACGATTTCATTTGCAAGAAACACGAGGTGAATGCAGAAAAGAGCAGCTAGTTGAATGGAGTCACTTAGGAACGTGAAGAAACATGCACACACCTGAAACATCCACCTGCAGCCTCTGTTCACCAGGTGTGCTCTGAGCCACGCCCGTCCAACCTGGTGATGGAACTTTCCCTCTGATTTCAGTCCGCCTTCCCCTCACTCCTCACAGTAATGCACAAGCTGCAGCCCTTCCAACACCCACGTCCACAGCAAACCGCAGGGCTTTTCCGCTGTGGCGAGCCGCATTTATTGTATCACTTGTGCATGTCTTCATCATTTAATGTGTAACACCGTGTTACCATTTTATGAGATTCCCGTCTTATTTTTAACGTATGGTTACTTGAGTGTTGTGCCCCTAAACTCATTTTTCCCATAAGCCCTGTGGTTTGTGTGAATTTTTTTGCACGGGATGGTAAGTTTTAGGAAAGCATATGTCACATTACAGCAGAACCAACTGTAATTTCAAATGATAAATGGAAGCTGCTTCTGTTTTGATATATGAATTTAGCAATGCTGTTCTGCCACTGGAAGACATAAATTATACTTTTTACGCAGGGCGCTTTCAAAACACTTAAAAATATAAATTCATTCTTGTAACCTCTGTATGCAACAATTTCAATGCTCTCCTGTCACGCAAGACAGAAGCAAAAGGCCACAGGATGGTCACCAGTAGAGAAAGGATTAGAAGACTGCACATCTGCGGCCAAGTCTATGCTCAGACCCCTGGGCCATGCTGTCCTTAAAGGAGATGACCACACAGGAAGTCAAGGCCAGCAAACAGAGACGTCAGGGAAAATCAGCTCAGGGCCAAGCTGAAGACAGTGGCTGCAGTAAACAGGCTTTCACGTGCTTCTTTCTGATGTGCTGACACGTCACATCTGACCTAAACGCAGACGCTCCTGACCTACCTTCGTAACCAGAATGAATCTTCTCCACCAGTGTGAGACAGCAGGGCTCAGGCTCCGGGCGGGCCGAGCTGTGCACATGAATCAAATAGGGGATAATCCGGAATGGGCAGTAAGGCTGCCTCAGCTCCCGGGCTTCACCTCCACTGAAGAGAAGAAAAATGGTTTAGTACCAGTCCTGACCTGTTCACTTAGTCCAACGTGAAACAAGGCCAGGGAAAATGTTTTGTTGGTAATTTCCAAGAGAGACGTGTCTGAATCTAAAATGTTTAGACATATTTATTTATTTATTTTGGCTGTGTTGGGTCTTCGTTGCTGCATGTGGGCTTTCTCTAGTTGCGCTGAGCGGAGGCTACTCTTCGTTGTGGCGCGTGGGCTTCTCATCGCAGTGGCTTCTCTTGTGGAGCACGGGCTCTAGGCGCATGGGCTTCAGTAGCTGTGGCTCACGGGCTCAGTAGTTGTGGCTCGTGGGCTCAGTAGTTGTGGCTCACGGGCTTAGCTGCTCCGCGGCACGTGGGATCTTCCCGGACCAGGGCTCAAGCCCGTGTTCCCTGCATTGGCAGGCGGATTCTTAACCACTGCGCCACCAGGGAAGCCCAAAACATATTTATTTTTAAAAGGAGGGACACGTTAGTTTAAATTTTCAATAGCCACGGGCAATGATGCTCGTTTGCTATTGGATGAGCGGGAGGCTGCCCGGAGCGGCGGCTCGCTGATTTCAGCGTGGCTCGCTGCGCCCGCCGGGAAGAGGGGCAGAGGCACAGCCGCCTGTCTTGCCTCGTGCGTCTAAGCCAAGTCCCACGTGGTGGAGAACAAGGCCCCGGGGCCACGCCCCCAGCCGGCCCTGCGCCAGCCCTTCCCACGCCCTCGTTCAAATGACCGATTCAGTCCCACCGCTTCAGCCGCGCCGCTGCCCGGCGCAGACCTTGTGTGCGGCTCAGCGTCGCCCACCGTGCCTAGCTACAGGGAGATGGCGGGGCTGGACCCTCTCGGCCAACCGGCGCGGAGGCTGCTCGCTCCCTCTCAGGAGGCTCCCGGGGCGAGGGGTCTGCAACAAGCACACAGATGTCCATCCTGTTTCATCAGCCTGGCTGCCTGGAAGACGTTTCCACTTGGATCTGCCCGAACGTCCCAACCTGTATTTCACGCTCCCCCGTTTCTGCCCATCGCACCTCTCCTCGCCAACCATCACGAGCGTGGATGTTCGGGGGTCTCTGGCCGCCCTCCCGCTCTCTTCTCTCCTCTAACTCCAGCATCTCCTGTGACTCCTCCACTCTCAGCCGTGACCCTGCTTCCTAGGTCACCGCTCAGAAGAGCACCTTCTCCTGGCAGTCACCTGCGAGCATCTGTACCTGTGCTAGTGGCTCCCCTCCCATTTCTGTGCGTGCTTTCTCCAGGCTCATCCCGTCCTGAGCTTCTCAGTGCCATCTATATGCCGATGACCTGCACATCTGTCTCTAGCCCGGCCTCCTCCCCTGAACCCCGGGCTCCTGGACCAACGCCTCGTCAACATCACGAGGCAGATTTCTACTCGACACTACACACTCACCTAAAACTAAGGCACACGCTCTCCCCTCTGCTCTCCAGGCAGCTGCTTGTCCTACAGTTTCCTCCTCCCCAATACATGGCACCTTGAGTCAAGACTCCCACGTCACCTGACTACTCTTTCTATCTCGCACCCGAAACTAACCCACCAGTATACGCTGCTAGGTCTCCCCTGGCTCAGGAAAGGCACCTGAAAACATTTACCAACATAAGAAACACACAGAGCGCTTACTACGCGGCAGGCACTGCTCTCAGATCTTCATAACCAACAACTCACCTGCGAGTGACAGAAAGAACCGACATGGCCCTCCCCACACACGCACACCTTTCCAGGTTATCCTTCCCCAAGCATTCGAACACTCTTAGCGCGAGTCCCCCTCAGTTCCATGGAGTGGAATGATCCATTACAAGGATTTCTCTTCCCCGCATACCAAAAGCATTTAGTAACCTCAATACTACTGTTGGTGATCATGACGTCATTTAAAACCATTTTTTCTTTTTACTTTGAAAGTAACATTAACATATCAAAGTAAATTTGGAAGAGAAAAAAAAATCACTAATAAATCCTACCAGAAATCAACTACTATTAAAATGTTGATCTCTTTTCTTCTAGTTCACTGTCACTGGACCTTTTAAGTCCTCATAAATATACCTACCTTGCTTTCTTTCAGGTTGTTCAAAATTTCAAAAATTAAGTTTAAATGTGACTGAAAAACAAAAACAAAAAAGCTCCACAAAACTGTCATCTGAAAGTATATTTCATGTCCAGTAACTCTCACATGCCCTGGGTTAAGAATGATCCTTCTGGTCTCTTCCCCTATGGCATTATTATCTACTTTTCTCATAAGTACATGTGTCTTCGCCTCAATCAAAACACAAACTTCGTGCAGCAAGAACCAGGTCTTGTCTTTTGTATCCACAGCAGACCTAGCTGAATAAGGCATCAAAATAAGTGCCAAATAAAATCAGAGGGATGAGTTTGGGATTAACAGATAAGGACTGCTATATATAAAACACATAAACAAGGACCTACTTTATAGGTCCTTATGGCATCTATAAATATAGTTCCCTGTCCTTATAGCACAGGGGACTGTATTTAATATCTTGGAATAACCAATAATGGAAAAGAACCTGAAAAAGAATATATATATGTATGTATATATGTGTATATAATGATATATATATATATATATATATACACACACACATATGTATAACTGAACCACTTTGCTGTACAGCTGAAACATTGTAAATCAACTATACAGTCAATTTTAAAAAATAAATAAAGTAAAACCAGAGCCCACTCCACCGTGCCTGGCCTCCAGGAGCTCCCACACTCACCGGATCCTGCAGAAAAAGGACTTCACCGGAGCGAATTCATAGCGTGAGGCTGCTGGAAACAAACACACGTGTCAGTGTCCCGCCTGCACGCAGCTCCTCCCCAAACTGTGACTGCACAAAGGGGAGACTCTTCAGGGACAGAGCTGCTCTTGATTAAAATAGGACTCTCCTCCCTCACTAAGATCTAGTTCCATCCAGTATTTTCCCAGGGCGCTTTCGTGTTGAATAGTAACCCTCAGGTGAGACCCTGAGAGCACCTGACGGAGGCCTCTCCCTGTCACCCCCTGCAGTCCTGTCTGCATTTCTGCTCCTGCCTGGACTCACTGCTTCAAATGTCAACGTAATCATCCTGCGACACAATTATTTCGCTGGTAATATTCTATTCCCCTGTAATAGTCTGGACACGTCTCAAAAACTGGGAATTCCGATTACTTAGAGCTTTCAGGTAGAGGATACATACATTTCTTTCCTTGGACAAATTCCCCAGAGCTGTGTTCCTAGATTAGATGATATCATTTCATGACTCTCATCATATATTGGCAAACTTAGCTCCAGCAGATGGTACCAATTCAGTGTCATTAATAACACTTTCTCACACTCCTCATGCCAAAGGTTTTGCTTCAACTTTATTGACTTCGCATTTATTTTATTGATGTGTGAGGTGGTAATTCAGAAACATTTAAATTTGCCCATCTTAGGAAACTGAACTTATTTCCAAATGTTTGTTGATTACTTTATTTCGTCTGGTAGAACTCCCTGAATATACATCTTTTGGGCATTTATTCACTGGAGTGAAAAGTTTTCAGTTATAGAAACCAAGGAAATGTTTACAACCAAGGAGATGTTTTTAAAAAAATATACACTGAAGGAGCACCTACAACGAGGATTCTGAAGAACCAAAATACTGAACATGGTCCAGGTGTTTGTACTCCTAAGGAAAGGATCATAGGAAGAATAAGAAAATGGGCTTTTGAGTGATCAAGAAAAATGTTCACAATTTAAAAAAATCCCTCCAGTTTAAAAGTAAAGGGACCAGTGACCAAACTCCTGTAATTCGTGAAACTATGAAAGTTACAGGTCCAGAATTCTGAAGCCAGAAGTTCTTACAGAATGTCTAGGAGAAATAACAGAAAGAACTTGACAAAGTAAGCTAAAGAAATTAATTACTCTAAGATACGCTATCATCTTAACACAGAAACTGTTTCTGCAGTTTCTGTGGAGGAATTAAGGCAAGATAAAGATTTTTCAGAACTATCCTTGATTTATGGGCTGATTCTCGCGGGTGGGAACCGTCCCTCGGTGACACTTTCAAACGCTCGCCTTTGGCTGAGGACAGTCCTCCCGCTTTAAGGCACAGTCCCAGCAGCCATGGGTCAGATGGGCTCTGGATGCATGCTGTCACGGCGAAGGCCGGCTCCATACTTGCAGGTGTGACCCTGGCATCTCTGTGACCATGGCAGATAAGAAAGGGCACAGTTGCTGGCTCTGAGGGACCCGACTGTTGCCTGAGCCCTGCTTCCCGCGGGCTGCCCCCGGCCCGTGCCCGTACACGGAGCAGGCAACGAGGCAGGACCATTCCATGGAGACGCCGGGCTCCTCCAGCGGGTGGACCCTCTGGCTGCCTGGCCCAGAAGCTCTCTGGACTGCGCTGCGGCCCGAGGCTCCTGCTGCCCAGCCCTCCCCCCGCCTCGCTCCTTCCAGCGATGCCAGCGATGAGGGCTGAGGGCTCCTCTCACCACCTTCCACCCGCTCCCCCAGTCAGCGTCCCGCTTCTGGGCAAACCCGAACTAATACAGTTACTCTGTCCATCTACCGGGGAGAATGACAGTACCTACACCTCACAAGGTCTTCGTGAAGATTAACTCAGTTGATCCACGAAAGCAAAGAGAAGGGTCCCTGGCAAATAGTAACCGTTCAACAGATGACAGCAGTTAAGATGAGCCTTTATGCTGCGGATGCTCCAAATATCTCCAAGTCTTCCCCAACCTACAGCTTGCTGGGTTCTCACAGAAAGCCCGTATTAACAGGCACGTCAGAAACTATGATTCTCATTTTACAACGAGAAGCCAAGTGGCCTCCAAGGTTCACGAAGGGACAGAATGCAATTTGAAACTCAGACCTTCAGATTCTGAGCTTAACATTCTTTGCACATAAAAAAATACTGCAACTCTGCTGTAAGGTGAACTCACTTACACTACTTATACATTGTAGCAGGCACCTGAATTCAACTGCCCCCCCCGCTCAGAGTCCTGTAACACAGAGAGCCAGCCTACCGGATCTCAAAAACAGTACACGGGGGCCCGCAGTCACTTCCACACCTGGGCCGGAAAGTGCGAATTCTTGTTTCTGGAAGTGTGTTCTAAAGAAACAGCGGTCAGATCCTTCTGAGAGGTCTGTACAACAAGCCTAAGTGGAAATGTGCTCTAACACGGGGCCAAAGCTGACAACTGCTGAGTTTAGAGCTTCCCGTGTCCTCTTAATGCCCTATGAGTTCAAAGGAAGGGACAGAAAGAGGTAACGTGAGCACAGCCCAGAAATGGTGTGGAGCTGAACAACGGCCCTCAGGGAGGGTGTGGATCCCTGGGGTTCCTAAAGTGGAAGCATAGTGTGAGAAGTAAACTAAATGGAGCAAGTAAATGTTCAGGTCCAAGAGACAACACTCTCAGGGACTATTATGTTTTTACAAGTAGGGGAAATACCACTGAGTAATTACCAAAGATAAGAAAGTGAAAAGATCAGGGAATTCCCTAGTGGTCCAGTGGCTGGGACTCCGTGCTTCCACTGCAGGCGCATAGGTTTGATCCCTGGTCAGGGAACTAAGATCCCGCAAGCCTTGCAGCACAGCCAAAAAAAGACAAGTGAAAAGATCAGACAGAGGCTATAGGGCAATACCGAAGGGAAAATGGGAAAGACCTGGTGAACAGTACCACATGTCAGTTCTGTTCACTGTTGTACCTTAGCACCTAGAACAGCTCCTGGCCCGCAGACACTGCTATATAATGTCTAGGGAATGAACAAACGATGAACAAAAGCAGAGAAACAAACGTGGACAATTAAAGGTTGAAAACGCATGTTTCCGAAAGAGGAAGAAAAATGAAATCAGTGTTTTTGAATGAAGGGAAAAGGAGAGAGGGAGCTGGAAGAAAGCAAGGGTGACAGGTGTCTTTTCTGAAGCTTATATAAAACGTGCACAGAGAATGGGGCAAGGGTCTGGGATTGAAAAAAGAAGGCTGTAACACTGTTCTTCACTGGACTGAGAACTGGATTAAAAACCAGAATGAGTACAGAGCTCTAGATTAGCAGGATGAAGTTCTGAGGATCTGTTTCACAACACTGTGAATGTACTTAATGCTGCTGAACTGTATACTTGAAAATGGTTACGATGGTAAATTTTGTGAATGTGTTTTTTACCATAATAAAAATAATCAAAATTTTTTAAAAATGAGAGAAAAGGGTTTGGGATCAAAAAGGAAGCTGATCTTTACTAAGTTCTTTAAGAGACATTTCACAAAAAATATTAAAGAGGGAATAAAGGGTGACTTAAGAAAGAATGAATGCGACTTCCCTGGTGGTGGAGTGGTGAAGATTCTGCCCTCCCAACGCAGGGGACCCAGGTTCGATTCCTGGTCAGGGAACTAGATCCCACATGCATGCCGCAACTAAGAGCTCGCACGCCTCAACTAAGGAGCCCGTGAGCCACAAGTAAGGAGCCCTCAAGCCACAACTAAAGAGCCCACGTGCTGCAACTAAGGAGCTGGAGAGCTGCAACTAAGGAGCTCACCTGCCGCAACAAAGACCCGGCACAACCAAATAAATAAATAAATTTTTTTTTAAAAAAAAAGAATGAATGAATGAATGAAAGATTACATGGGATTGAATAACACAAAGAAAACTTGAGTGGGAACCCACTCCCCACCCCCAGTTCAGGAAAAGCAGTCTTTCAGAAGGAAAACAAAATGATGAGATTCATAACTTTTGGGGAGAAGAAAAGCTGGAAAGGGATCTAACTTTGAGAAGTTTACCTCCAGAGCAAAGCAGAGAAATAATGAAGTCAGTATAAGAGGAAAAACATTTAATTTTATTAACAACAGACACTTTGTAGCAATTAACCTGCTATACACGATGCTGTAACACACCATATCTATGGCATATAGTCTGTGAAACTAACTTGATTAAATGAAAACAAATTTATTGGATCTTTATGTTATTAGCAGCATTTAAAATGCTATTTTCATCACATTCTGACTTTTAAAATGAAGAAATAAGAAAAACTATATATTTGCATGTTCTGAATAAGGCATTCATTTGTGTACTATTTCTGAAGAATGAAACTGACCTTTACCAGGCAAGATAAACATCTGAATATTGGTCCCATTACCTCTTTGGGTCCAGTTGTTCCAGAAAGGAAGCTGAGCATGGGCAGTGTGCGTGTAGAACACCCTCACGTCTTGAGGGGCGAGCAGGTCAACGAAATGAGAGGACTCTAAGAACTCTTTCTTACAGTGCAGGATCGAAGGAGCCTGTTCAGAAACGTGCACTAACCTTCCAGACAGAAATGAAAAAACTGCCACGAAGGTATCCTACGAAAAATATTTAAAATAAATGCAAAATATTGAGATACATACTGGCAATATTCCCTGAATAAATTTCATCTAGACGTCTACCATGAACAATAGCTTAATACCATGATCAGTAGCTTAAAACACACACACACACACACACACACACACACACACACACACACCTGCAAAGGCAATAAATCGCTGTAAAACCTGCATTGTTCCCTCTGAAGGTTTAAGTTCTGCCAAACAATGCACCAGCTCATTCTACACGGACTAAACACAGTGTATACACTGTATACACTTCTGATTCCCTCTCCTTTGCAAACTGTACCTGGAAGGACTGTCTTCTCTTCACCCATATGCATATTCCAGGCTTCAAGACCAAGCTCAAGAGTCACTTGCTCCAAGACGTTGTCTTTGACAAACCTCATTACATAAGAATCATTTCTCTAATGTGTTCCATTAGATATATACATAGCTTGCTTATAATCGGCCACTGCTTGTACCTGCTAGCAAGTGGCGTATGTTTTCCTCTCTAGATTTACTTTGAAGATCTTAAAGGGAAAATGTTTTCCTTAAACTTTATTTCCCTTAAATCTCCATAGCGCCTACTACCGTGTTATAAACACATCAGTTAGTAAAATAAGCACTGTAACACTAGGGATAGCTCATGCTCCAATATTATAAAATCTTTAAGTTACAATTATGTTGAGGTCTACACATAAATTAAGTAATCTCCATCATATCAGCAAAACATGAGGCTCCATTGTTCTGTCAACATGAAGAGATTCAAAAGAGATACACTAAATATCTCTTCCAAAATTTTACAAAAAATGACAGCATCTCAACTCACCTGCTCTATAAAATCCAGTTGTTACAACTTGAAGTAGTAGGTATTGGAACTAAGAATGATATAAATAGGAATTAACAATTCAGAGATTAGAATAAGATGCAGGAAATCACTCTGCAGTGTTATTTTTTTCTTCCTTTGAGAGAACTCAGGGATGCTAAGGAGAGAGAGGCACCTCATGACGGAAGCAAAGCCAACTACTACTTATGTGTTGCCTCCTGTTTTTAGATGTTTTCTCTGGCAAGGGCAGGAGAAACTCCACAAGGCCTCTTTAACAGTTTTCTCCTATGCTTGACCTCAAACTGTGGTTACTGAAATGCTCAGTTATTATTTAAAAAAATCTGCATCTAGATAAGATCGTTAGGAAAAATCACCCAGGTTGATATGGCAAAATTTGTGAATGCTTACTGTGTTTTTGGAAGTGTGCTCTGAAGCAATAGCAGCCAGCTCCTCAACACTGTACATGGTCACGTCTGCTTGAGGCGCTCCATTCTGATTGAGAATCTGGAAAAACTCACTGTTTGCTAAGAAACACAGGAAAATAAATAGGTAGTCCAGTGACAAGAGTATCTTTAGGAAATCATTTTTCATCAGTATAAAAGCAGGCTTGCTTTTTAGGATGAGGACACCTCAGCATGTTTTCCTTGAAATCAGATCATTTTCTTCTTTCAACTAAAATACTGATAGTTGTACAAACTTAAGATTTTGAATTTTATGAATTCTGCATGTTCCAGATCACAAGGAATGAGACACACTGAAGGTACCAAAACAAGGTACTGAAACCCAAAATTCCAAATACACACACAGGAAATCTGTATGGCAGAAACATTATTCCAGGATTCAGGAACTATATACCATCTATGAAGCCACAGAGGTTTGTGCTACAGAATGCGTATTTTTAAAATCCCTTGAGAAGAAGTCTGAAAAGCCATAAAAAGAAAAAAATGTTTACGACCATTCGTTTTTAATTTGGTAAATTCCTGATACATCATGACTGTATTTTAAAAGTATGTCCATGGCAGGGAAATGTAAATGTATTTAATCAAGTGTATTTTTCCCCTAATAGTCACAGAAGACAATATTCTTTTAAAAAGTGAATCTTCAAACTGTGCTTATACCAAGCTCTACTCTCCTGAAACAAATCAGCAAAATACTGCACGGTTACTAAGCTATGACACAAATAAGGTTCTCCGAGTGCTCATGTGAAAAACTAAGATGCTAATGCCATCAGTGTAGATTTGCACATCTCACATAAAGCACCATAAAAAGCTCAAAACATTTCTGCGCCTAAAACCAGGCAGACAACTGCTCTGGCCCGGCTGCTGTTTACGAGCAGTGGTGTCCGTGCACGACTGTATCCCCTCTCCAGCCCGTTTACCTTGCACGCTGTGTACGCAGCGAAGGGCATAGTTGAGAGCATCCAGGGTGCTTGGTTTACTCTGTCTCTCTGACGGAAAGTATTTTTTCATTTCTTGGACAACCGTTATAAGGTCTTTGGAAACTCTGTTTTGATCTTGTGGTTCACTGTAAGATAAAAAAGATTCTAAATTCACACTTTCGATTATAATAAGTCAACTTTTACTGAACAGCGTATTTCATGCCAGGCCCGCTTTCTAAGCCCTTAACATGGATCAGCTCATTTAGTTCACAGATTTATTATCCACCACTTTTTTTTTTTTTAACAGGTGGAGAATCTCAGGCAAAGAAATTGGTAAACATCAAGCATTTTCCACTCTCTTATTCCCACTTCAGCCGAGAGTCAGCTAAATTCCTCAACCACTTTTTACCTTTTGGTTAATTTCCTTCAGTTTCTCCAGGGTATTTCATTCTAAGTTGTCTGAGTCTCTTTAAACTTTTTCCTAGGCTTACAAACAAAATATAGAAAGATGTAAGCCCGCCTTTCCCCTCTACCACCCCAGCAGAGAACAACAAACACGTCAGGTTATTTCACCTGTTGCTGGTCTGCACGTATTTGCTCCGCAGCTGGTATTTCCGGCTCCACATCTCAGCAGAGTCCTTCCCCAGCGCCTCAGGACCGCTGGCCTGTGGTCCTTCAAGTTCATGAGGCTGCCTCCGCCTAGAGTCCTGAGATTTACCACCGGACACTTCCAGATCTTCACAGGGATCCATCGCTCGCCCGGCAGTCCTCAGCCTGTCGCCTGCTACTTTGCTACTTTGCGATCGGCGACGGAAATGTACTTCTCATTTTGGTCCAGGCCATCGTCTCAGAGAAAATGTCAGTCATCACAAGCCGGCAAGTAGAGGTACTCTTTCTGCTCCTCCGGGGGCACTTTTCTCCCCAGTATTTCCCTGCAGTCTTGGACGTCTCCGCTCACGGGAGGTCCACCGTGGAGGGGGACGGTGGAAACAAAGGTGACAAGTGTCAAGAGAAACACAATCTGATGCTGGAAGCTCGGCTGTGGCTCGCGGGCTGGGCAGCCCCAGGGGGATCCCGGCTCCGGCCGCCCCGAGAGTCGGCGTGCACCCAGGACCCGCACCCGGCAAGGGGCAACTTGAAGCACAAAGTTCCCACAGCGCAGGACAGGCTCGGGGCGACGGCGCCCGGTGGGCCCCGAGGCCTCCCCGCCCGGGCCGAGCCCTCATCCGCCGCCGCCGTAAGCCCAGCTGACCCTGCCCCACGCAGTCTCGAGGCCAGCAGTGTGCCGGGCGGTCGCGGGCGCCGCACCCCCCGCGCACCACGTGACGCGGTCCCGCCCCCGGGTCGCGCGATTGGCTGCCGCTGCCGGCTCTGCGGAACCCCATTGGCCTGGGGGCGGGACCCGAGCAGGGGCGCCCCGGTTACATAAGCGGAGGCGTGTGAGCGGGGCAAAGGTCCCGGAGCTCTTTACGTAACGCCGGGGGTCGGCCCGAGGACGGCGCTCGGCCAATCCCGGCCGGCTGGCAAGTAAGGAGGGGGCGGAGGGGCCCTGAGGAGGCTCCAGTCCCCGCCCCGCTCCCGGCCCCGGGGGATGGGCCCCGGGGGCCGCTGGAGCGAGCGCGGCAGTGATTAGGACGCTGGAGCCGCCAGTCATGAGGGGGCGGGCCCCGGGCGGCGGGGTGGGCGGGGCCTGCGCGGCCTCCACGTGAGCGGCCGCGGCTCCCCCAGCTCCAGAGTTGGGGAGAGCGGCGCAGCGCTGAGGGCGGATCGGGACCACGCTTGGCAGACGTCCAAGCGCTTTCCCTGCGTCTTCTCGGGTTTCCGTCGTTTCCATTTTTCTTAACGACCTTCTTGCTCTCGCTCCTGCGGACTCTTAAGTGAGGGGCTGTGAGGACCCGGCAGTGCAGCAGCCCTGGAAAGATCAAACCCGGTTTTCAGAAGCGGAATTCTGACAGCGAAGCTTAAAACATTTTCCCTGGTCTTCCTAAAGTTAAAGATTCACTTAGCAACTGGAGGAAGACAAGTGCCTGTAAAAGGCATTATTTTGGGAAAGGAAGGTGTAGGAAGGCCTTTAAAAAACACCGTCGGAAGACTCTTTTTATTTGTGTCTCGACTCCTCCGAAGTGGAAGGTGCCATGTAGAACTCCGCCCCTCTCCGGTGCCTAGTACACCAGAAATCTTAAGTATTGGTTGGATGAATGAAAGGAATTGTAAATAAGAGGAGGGGAAAGTGAAGTGTGGTAACTGTTCATATCAGGTATTGGATAAACCACCTTATTTCTCCAAATGATGCTTACTCTCTTCCGAATCTCTATTTTGTTAAACTGCATTCATTCAGCAAATATTTACTGAGTGCAGGTCTGGGGATGGCAGGTTTTGATGAAGGGAGAACAGAGAACTGTTTTCCACATGCCATGTTTGAGATGCGCACTAAACATCCAGGTGGAGTGAGTGGTCAGGTGGGCAATTGGATCTCCCAGCTGGGAACTTGGGGGAGAAGCCGGGGGTGGAGATACAGTTTACATTTGGCAGTCGTCAGAGTCTCTATGGAGTTCACAGTGATGGGTGAAATGGTGTCAGTGAGAGAGTGCCGATAGAGAGAAAAGGGCCAAAGACCAAGATTTGGGGCACACAGAGATTCAGAGGTCAGGCAGAGAACCAAGCAAAGAATAAGGAGCCATAGATGAGGCTGAAAGAAAACCAGAGGAGTGTGGGATCCTGGAAGCTTGATAACGAAGCATTTCAAGGAGAGAGCTGGCAACTTTATCAAATGCTGGTGATAAGCAGAGTGAGACAAAGGCTGAGAATTTCCTGTTGGGCTTCAGCAAGATGGTGACCTTGGTTAAAGACGTCTCAGTGGTGTGGATTGAAGAAAAAGTAGGATGTGAGGCAATGACTACAGGAAGACATAGGGAGGAATTTTGCTGTGACGAGCTATAGACAAGTATTTGTTGGCTGGAGGGAGGGATGTGGGCATCACTATTAAGTGATGGGGTGATCCAATAAGAAGGGAGAAGTGAATGACGCAGGAGGGAAGGGCTGCAGACAAGAGGCAGTTGCCAGAGAGAAGTCCTTCGTGAGGCTGGGGATCCAGAGCCTTGGCCAGAGGCAGGCACTTCTCCCAACAGGGGATTGTCCGTCTTGGCGGTATAAAGCCAAGTAGAAGATTTCTAAATGCACTTAGCTTGCTATTTAAAGGATGAGAAAAAAAAATTATTTTCTAATAATTATGCCATAATTGGTTTATTTAGTAAATTCTACTTTTACAGATTGAATTTTCTGCTACTATGAAAAGCAGCTCAGTTGGAAATAAGTTTGCTTATTTTTAAATGCACTAAGCAGTCTGGTCAATTTTATTTTATCTTATTTTTAAGGTATTTTATTTATTTGTTTATTTTTGGCTGCATTGGGTCTTTGTTGCTGTGTGCCGGCTTTCTCTAGTTGAGGCGAGCGGGGGCTACTCTGTTGCGGTGTGCAGGCTTCTCATTGCTTCTCTTGTTGCAGAGCACGGGCTCTAGGCACACGGGCTTCAGTAGTTGTGGCATGCGGGCTCAGCAGTTGTGGCTCAGGAGCTCTAGAGCACAGGCTCAGTAGTTGTGGCACACGGGCTTAGTTGCTCCGCAGCATGTGGGATCTTCCCGGACCAGGGCTAGAACCCGTGTCCCCTGCACGGGCAGGCGGATTCTTAACCACTGCGCCACGAGGGAAGCCCGAGTCTGGTAAATTTTAAAACAATAATGAATCATCATTCAGAGCCAATAAAAAAGTTGCCATACTTTAAGAAACATTTTATTGGTGATGCAAATCTAGAATTATCGTGTGAGAGACACAAGTCATTAGAAAATACAAGACACGGGGAATTTGCCCCCATTCTTTGACTGAAGTTGTTGACACAAAGGAAGATGTTCACAAACATTCCATTTCTCCTCTGGGTGACAGACAGGACTCCCTCCCACTTCTGAGGTGAGCCACGGTCACCTGACCTGCTTTGGCCAATGAAACGTGAGCAGACGTGAGCAGAACGTGCAGGCTCCACTTCCAGGCGCAGGCGTTGAGAGCCAGTGCACAATTCCTGCCGGTCCCTTCCTTTCCTTCCGCAGTGATAACCGGAAACGAATGTTTACAGGAAGTCCCCTCACCCCACCCCGCAGGGACTGACGACAGAGCCTCCCTGCTGACTGGCGTGGGACACAGAGCACGAGCAAGGAAAAAACTTTGAGCCGTGGCGATTTGGGAGGCGTCTGGTACATAGCACCCCTCCAGCGTATCCTGAGTGACGTAGATGGTGACCAAAAAGAGCGGCAAGTCCAGTGGATTTGGCTAGTGTGGTCACTGGGTCGGTGATCGTGCCATTTCTGGAGCAGCCACTGTGAATGATCGGAGGAGGGGCACGGGGCAGGGGATGTTTCCTTCTGGTGAACGCTGCGTTTGAGAAGCTTACGTGCAATAGGCCAGGCCTCATCAGCAGATGAATGAATAGAGGGATCATGAACACAGATAAGACTGCCTGGGGAGGGTAAGTAGAATGGAAACAGAAGCCCCCAAGGAACCCTGACATTTAAGGGAGAAGCAGAGGAAGAGGAACCGCTTTAGGGTAGATTCTCCTTTGAAAATGGCACCGAAAGTTCACACGCATTTCATTATATCATGCTCCCGAACAAAAGGCACGATTCCACACTTACTACTTTTCCAGGGACACAGTCGCACGCCAGACAAGAAAAGCAGTGACTGTCTATCCGAGGCAATGGAAAAAACGTCAACCTGCTTATCGCAGGATTCTACTGAAAACTGGCATTTTACTGTGAACATACGCAAGTCTCCTTCCACCCATAGTATATTGTTCCCTAGGGCTCGCAGAGTAAGAGTGGAAGTACATTCAAGGGGAAAGATATGCAGAATGAAAACAAGAGGCGTCCCTCTCCCACCCAAGTCATCTTCCCACGCCCCACGTGGGCAGCGACCTGGTCCAGCACATACCGGCCGGCTCTATACTAGTCACTTCTGAAAGACCATATATTTAAGAAACTCAAAAGCCAAATTCTGAACGTTTTAGGAATCATAAGAAAGCCAGTTTCCCACTCATCTCCTCTACTGAAAAGCACTTTTCACATGGGGAGTGGTATGCAAGGAACTCAGAGTCCTCAGGGAGGGGACTGGTGAGAGAGCAAGAGAGGAAGGGGACTTGGGGTCTGTAAGGGCGACGCGGGTTGAGCAGCAACCCTACAAGCAACACAAGCACTGAGTTATGTTTATAAACACTTTATTCAGTTTGTTATAGTGGGCGACTTCCCAGCTAAATGCACAGATATAGGCGAAGTATTCCTGGGTTAACGCAGCAGCCAGTGGGTTACGTGGGACTGAGCATCGAGGCCAAGGAGAGAGCACCGAGGATTCAGAGTCGACCCGGCCGGAGACCTGAGCCGAGGGTGGGCCAACGTCCCAACACTGACAGCTGCTCCCTTCTTCCCAGGTGGGCACACTGCAAGGCATATTTTCAACTTCACACCATTTCACTGATATCAGGGGAACAGATATTACAGAAATGGAACCTGGGTCCTGGTGCACCTTAACTGCTGCTTTGTAAGTCACAAACTAGTGTGTGAACGAGAATTTTAGAATATTCCGCTAACGGTGAGCCACAGGGCGGTAAGACTCCTTTCCCCCTCACTGCCTCGTCTGTTTTCATTCCTACCTGAATTCCTGTCCTTAAGCCACACACCCTGATGTCCAAAGTCTCACGTACACAACAAAAGCCTCTCAGATGACGACAGCTATTCCCAAAGCAGCATCTTATGCAGACAGTCTGTGACATCAAAGAAAGAAAGTGTCTCTGGTTAGCTATCCTCTGTAAAAACTCGTTCCCCCTGACCAGTGCCTAATCGAGAGCATAATTTAGAAGGCAGATTTAGGAAGTGGACTATGGATCAAAATAGGAAACAAACCCCAAAAAGCTATCGTCCGTGGGAACTGGGCCAGAAAATGACCAGTTCACAGATGGTCTCACTTGAAGACTACAGAACTGTTGGTCACATAATTATTAGAAACATATTGGAGTCTACAGCTGATAATCTGCAAATGGCTGGGTAAAACTCTGTCTACAGGAATGAGATGGTCAGTCGAGCTCAAACCTTCTCTAACCCCCAGGAAAAATGCTGGGTCGGAAGGAGAGTCGCAAGACCTACAGCCTTTCAAGGGCAAGAAAGGCCTGCCAGGATGTCAGAGGTTCACACAC